AAACTAACTGAGGCAGTAGGAAAGGATGTATTCTGTTTTCCCTCAGAACCAGGAGTCTTGGTTTAGCAGTGGCACTGTAGAAGTGCAGTACTTTCTTCCCCTCCTTTAGCTAGTACTGTTCCTATGCCTGTGGGGTAGTGCCAGGATTTTAAAAGCACAGATCTTCAAAGAGGGCTTGTTTTTTGGGTGTATACCTTTGCTATGAACTTCAGAGCGTTGTAACTGGTGGCTGTAGACTTTGACTGCAATCTTGATGTAACTGCGGTTTCTTGATGCGCTCAGATTTTATCCTGTAGTGCAGGCTGGACAGAGATTTCTTTTTAAATTACTCCTAGCTTCAGAGTTGATTCATATTTTCCAAGGCCTGCATTTGATGACCTTCAGAACTGAACGTTATCCTTGTCGTTGAATATGATGAAGGGAGGTGGATTGAATTTGGGAAGGCTTTTGTGTCCTTTATCCTTGTGACTCCTGCTGGGTAATATCTGCTTCTTGGTTGGGTTTCTCAAAGGGCACATATGTGACATGTTTCAGTGAAGATCTTTTTGGTTTTTTTTAGACTTCACAGGGAAAATCCTTCCCTTTAGGGAATTCTGAGCAACCAGTTGCCCAGTATTGAAAGCATTTGCTACCTGTGTGGCAGCTTGATTTGATTTGGGACAAGGACTTGAACTTGTTTCTCCTAGATGAGTGCCTTGCTTTTGAGTTATGTGCTGGAAGACACCTCTTCCATTACTCCTTAACATAGGAGGAAGACAAATGTCTGAGCTTTACTTTGTCATGAAATCGAGTTCTTGTCTCCTGGCCACCCTTGCTTTATGAATGTCATTCAGAGCATTTAACAGTGCTTAGTGAGGACTTGCTATGGGGAAAAACCTAGATAAAAATCTCTTAAGTAAAAAGGAAAAGGTAATTTGAAGATGTTTTCTGTCGAACAAGTTGGTTTTACTTACTGTAGAGAATGCAGTAGTGGCTCCTCTGTCTACTTTCACTTGCTAAAAGTCCATGGGAGTATTTTGTCAGATAAGCACAGTATATTCTTGTATTAAGTGGGTACTGTTTCACTGCTTTGGGATTCCATTCACTTAGCTTAAGGCATAAAGTAAAATAAAATGCATTGCTACTTACGTACTCTTGAGGCATGTGTAATGCAAATATAATGCTTTAGCTTCGGGCTAAAACTTGTAGCAATCAAATAGGAGACCTCCTTGTCCATCTCAATCCTGTGAGCAAAGCTTGCAGGTCTGAATGTAATGCCAGCATATTTCTGAGCACGGTCAGGGTGCGTGTTCCACTTTTAAAATTTAGTTGAACCAGAAATGGCAGCTTTTGTTGCATTGTTGGGGGGTGGTTTGGTTTTGTTTGTTTGTTTTGAGTGAAGGATTGGGTTAAAGCAGTGAGAATTTTCTTGTAAAGATGAAAGGGAATGGGGAAGGTGCTTCATGGGCTTTGTGGACAGTGTGTGTTTTGTTCCTGACAAAGCACAGAAACGCAGAAAAGGATTCCAGAAGCTGTAAATCAAGGGAAAAGGGCCTGGGAGCTTGCAGCTAGCCTGAGTGGAGATGATGAAGGGTACCAGTGTCAAAGAGATCTTCCTGTGGCACCAGAGAGGACGAGGAAGTTGGTGCAGCACTGGCAATCGACTGGCTGTCTTGTTTTTTCTTTTATTCTAGTGATATTTTACTTGTTCAGACTCCTGAGATTTTTCACAAGCCTTTTTGCCATCTCTAGATGCCCTTCTTAGAACACCTGGAGAATCTGACCTCCGAGCACTGATTTATAACCCTGTTGCAAATGGGGGAACAGGACTGCAGAAGGTAACAGTAGCTTTGCAATTCAGTGCCACAGGTGGGATTACTCTGTGCTGCTGTTTTGAGGTTGTAGAAGAAACCTGACTGTTGTACCTTAAGGCAGTCTTTGTCATGCAGGGTATGTGTGCAGTGCTTGTAAAAGATCAGTTGAGCCTCTCAGAAGTGGAAGATAGATCAATTTGAATTTTGCTCTTTCTGAGCAGAGATTCAGTCCATCCTGATGTGCAAATCCATTATTTGACAACTGTAGTTTTATGCCTGTGCACTGATAAAATCCTGCCCTGAAAATGAGAATTCTGAATTTATTTGTGCTGAGACAAGGGTGTATTGTTATGAGAGACAGACCTCTTCCAATTCCAGCCTCTTTCTCAATGCAGACACAGGTGGAGGATGACTCCCTCGTGAAAAAAATGAATGGGGGAAGAGACTGGTTCATTTCTTCTCAACGCTGGGGAGAAAGCATGCTATAGATGGATAAAAGAGGAGACTTCTGCCATCACATCTCTTCAGTCTTTTTGTTGTTGTTTAAACTCTATTTTCATGGTGCCAAGGTGAAACTATCTTCAACAGTAGTGGTAAATGCTGTTTGGCAGTCTGAGCCTCCACTGTTGGGCACACTGCTGCATCTCTTCATGCTGTTGAAGCGTTGGTCTCTGCCACTGCTCTGCTGCCTCAGAACTTATTTAAGCATGTCATTCATTTTTAAGAATAACATTTTTTTTTTTTTTGCAACCTTTCTGTAGCAGGAGACCATCTTTGAATATGTTAATATAGACAAATACTAATTTGCTTACTTGAAGCATGAGCTAGGGGAGGGGGTTTTGCTGTGTAGCTTCTGGTGATGGATTAAATCATAGAATCAGAGTAGCTTGGGTTGGAAGGGACTCCAAGGCTCACCAAGCTCCAACACCCTGCTGCATGCAGGGCCACCAACCTCCACATTTCATACCAGACCAGGCTGCCCAGGGCCCCATCCAACCTGGCCTTGAACACCTCCAGGGACGGGGCATCCACAACCTCTCTGGGCAGCCTGTGCCGGCACCTCACCACTCTCTTGGTGAGAAGATTATCTATGCAAATCTGAGACATCTGTGATTTTTGTGTAACATTTATGCAATATTGTAACTGTGGAAATTTTATTGGTCACAACTATGTCAGTAATGTATTTGTCTGTCTTACAGTCACTGGAGCTTTCTTGGCTGCCTGCAGAGGAGCGTAAGATACGTGTGACAGTGAAGCACCCATGAAAGATGCTTTTTGACTTTCCACATGTTTAGTCTGCCTATAGAAAACTGATGTGCACCTTTTGGTTAGGAAGTTAATTTTAAGGCTGTGCAGACGTGGAAATAACATGTGGATTTTTTTCTGACTGGAGAAAGTCTTTAACTGGCAGGAGCAGGTAATGAGTTGCTTCAGGATGATGACCCTACCTACAACAGTTAGCAACAATGTAGTTCATATATATATTTATATATGTATGTGTGTATGTATATATAAACACTTTTCTTTCTCTTTCCCTTAACTATGTTTTCACTTACTAATTGCCTTGTTTTCCTCTCCAGACAGTTCTTCAATGTCTACTTGAAGGTACCGCTGCACTTTTTGATCCAAAAAAAGCTACAGGAAACAATTGCCATTTTTAATGTATTTGTTTAATCAGCAGTTAAAAAAAAAAAAAAAAATTAGAAAAAAGAAAAAACAAATGATTTTTCTAAGCATATGAATGGCATGCTTCTAAAACAACGTAATGATCAAGGTCATTTTCTTTCAAAAGAGCGAAAACCTCAAATGTAACAGGCCTTGAAATCCCACTCTAAGAAGTTTCCAGTTTAAATATTTCAAAGCAAGTTTGTTCTGGAGATTAAGGGAAGGTAAAGATTATTTATAATAATAATAGAACAAAATACTGAATTCTATTCTCATCTTCCCTTGCTTAACACTTTGCTTTTTAGATACGCTGTTTAGCATTCTGCATGAGGTTGTCTTTATTTTCTTTAAGCCACGATTATGTCACATTAATTCCTTCTTTTGGTGTGTGATGCAGTGCTAATAACATTGCTTTGGCTTGCAACATCTCGGGAGCAGTTTAGTCACAAAAACGAATGCTTCAGAAAGTGAGCTTTAAAAGGTTGGACCCTTCTTTTTATAACGCCTGTGTAGATGGCTCCGTGAACTCAGGGGTGGAGATTAAGATGTGGTGTGGATGAAGGCAGTGCAATGCTTCTACTTTTGTTCAAAGGCTAGGAATCCTAAGTCATCCCATCCTGCGTGAGTACTGCAGTGCAGTACCTTCCGTAGAGATGTAATACGTAATGGGATCAATCCCTCTAATTGCACAGTTTGCCTGAGCAGCAAGGGTGAGGTTAAAATCTTTTTTTCCTCCCATTTACCAGTAAGCAATTTCTCTTGTAGGGAACAGAGGTTAGCTCCAGCGAAGGCCGTGAACAACCGCTATCCATGTAGAATAAGGAGGGGGTTGTAATCTTGTGTCCAAAGTGTCTAGTTCAAGGGTTTATAAATAACAGTGGCTCTTGTAGATTCAGAAGGGTCTTGAGACTCTTTGGCCTACAGTTGGGTGTAAATACTTTAGCTGCAGTCTCTGGATGGCAGATATTTGTCAGACACTGCAGTGGTATCATGGATACAAGACTCTTGATGCCGGGGTAGCTTTGATGTTGGGATGTGCGAAGGGTTTTGATTCTGCAGCCACACAAATTCCATCCCACAGCCCCTCTTCCTGCCGTTTGTTTCTGATTAAACACGATGTGAGCTTTCCCATGTCCCCTGGAGCAGCTTTGTGGGAAAGGTATGCTGTAATTGGTTTATAACCATTCATAATGACCTGGCAGCCCTGTACGGATAGCAACGGGGTGCGACTTAACTTGTGATTTATTTAGGTAAGCTACGTGGATGAAAGGTACTCCCAAGTGTACAAGTTTAGCCAGTTGCCTAATTGGACATAAATTTTCACGTCTAGCTCAGAGAGAGGTTTTTGTTATGAAAGTCTGAATTTGGATTTATGAACAAGCTTTCTAGACTGCTAAACCAGCTTGTGAGCAAAGTTAGTGTTGTCTGTTTTGAGGCTTCTTAGTTTGGAATTCAGTGCCTGCTAGCATGCTCTTTGTCATCGGTAAAGCTAATGGCGCCTTAATTTAAGAGTTTATTTACACTTAGAATATCTGCCCTCATTTTAGCACTGTTTGGATTTAGAAGCCAGGATTGGCCACGCTGCTTCGGTCGTAGTCTTTCATCAGTTTGGCGTTGTCAGACTCCTGCTGGCTTCTTCCAGGAGCCCAAAGCTTTCTCACACAACGCCCATGATGCGAGCGACCCACCAGCTGCAGGGCATGATGATACGGCAGGCGGTGCGGCAGCCCTGGTAGTTGTATGGCCACGGGTAGTAGCCCAGCAGAGGCTCACAGATCCTCTGACACTGCGTGTAACTTCGCCTGCACTCGATGCAGCACACGCCTAGGTGGTCCAGCATGGGGTCAAAAGCCATCCCTTCACCTTCCAGTTGCTGAAACGCAAAATGTTGGTGTTATCAGCTCTGAAACCTTGGCCTTGAACTGCACAGCACTCCCGCCAGCTGACCAGCGGACCTTGCTTTGTTCCCTTTTGCTTGGCAGGGATGTAGAATTGCTGCAGTCACCCATGTAAAAATGGTAAGAAAAGGAAAGAACTCTAACGAAACACATTATTATTCTTCAGCCTGCAAAAGATCCAGCAGCAGTAAAACCCCCAAGGTATGAATGTTACTGATGGAAAAGACTTGAATGTAGTCATATGGGTCTTTCATGTAGATGACCATGTCTGAAGCTTATGCTGTACTTTTAATGTTTTTTTAATGTTTTAATGTTTTTGTCTTTTTTTTTTTAACTCAGAAAACTTCTCTCTCGTCTTTCTTTCAGCTTTTTTTTTCCTGAGAGCCACACTGAGTTGCTTTGTGGACAGTGGGATTTCTACCTGTTCTGTACCTAACAGTATGCAGTTGCATGGAACACGGTGTGTATGAAATATTTAACAGCAAGCTTTTGCTTTTGCTTTCTCCCTTCAGAATCATTTTCCTATTTTGGGGGGAAAACAAAAAACAACAAAACAACAAACAACCCAAACCACCAAACAAACTGAATATTCTAATTTTGAAGCTGAATTTCACTTTCACTTTTTTTCAAGAACGCTTTGAGAAAAGCAGCAGCAAACAGCAGATGCTGGCATCTAAGTTGGCCCTGAGCGTTTTTCACTTGGAAACCAGCAGCACACTGCAGCAGCGGGGCACAGAGGATGCGTTCTCCTCTCCAGGCTGCTGTGTGCTGCTGGGGACCACTTGGCTGAGCTCAGGCCTTTGGAGTCTCCTTCCCCAACCTGATAGCAAGGGGGAGGGATGTTGGTTCCCTTGAGTTTTCCTCCTTGGGTTTAGATGGCAGCAGTGTGAGCTTCTGCATGAGAGCTCATTGTCCAGAGTCCCTTTATGCAGTGGGTGAAGAGGAATAGTTGTAAGCATGATTCCTTCCATCCTGGGGGAAGGAGCTACAACGTAATTAACGGTCCTTTGGAATTAGACAAATCTGCCTCTAGGGAAGGCTTGGCTAAAGGCATCTATGGGGTAACTGCTAATGACGGTGAGTCCTGCCCTGCAGGATGGAAGAAGTGTGGGGAGCTGGAAGCTGTGGCTCTGGCATGTATCCCTCTGGCTGGGAGAATGAAGCTGCTGCAACTGCCCTGCTGCTGCTCCCAGAGAAAAAGGGAAGTGGGGCCTCATGGACTTCACGCTAGTGGATGCAAAGAGAAGCTGAATTCCACAGCCATTGCTATTCTACTGACCTCATGAGAGTCAGTTTAGATCCACTTTATTTGGAGTGATTAATTTGAGTTTAATTAAGGGATGTCAACTCGGCAGAATGCTGTCACAGCATAATGATCTCCTGCTGTTGCATAAATGTCAAAGCTGGGACTTATTTCCAAAGCAGGAGGCATTAATCTTGTAACAGTATTGTATTAAAGTGACTTACTCCTGCTGCACCAAATGGTGAGTGTAAATTCTCTGGCACTGGTGCACTGGACTACAGGCTGCCTACTGTATGGCTCCTGCACGCTGCCTCATCTCAGAGAGCAGCAACAAATGTCCCAATGGTCACCTTCCATGTGCTACTGCTGCCTCTGAGTAGCTTGCAAGAGAGCCTGTCTTCCAGATGGAGAGAGCAGGCTGAAGGAGTAGATCTCCATTTAGGAGGAAACTCTGCTATGAGCACTGGCACAGCTGTCCAGAGAAGCTGTAGAGCCCCATCCATGGAGGCACTCAAGGCCAGTTTGTACAGGGCCCTGGGCAGCCTGAGCTGCTGGGTGGCACAGCGCACGGCATGGACTTGGAGCTGGATGGGCTTTAAAGTCCATTCCAACCCATAACATTCCATGTTTTGGCTTAACCCCTAATATCTTTGAAATCAGACTTAAACTACCACTTTCTTCTTCTCTAGGGGTCTGATGCTGGTTTGTATATTTAAGAGCATGATCTAAGTCCTAGCTACTAGGTTCATGCTTTACCTTTGTTGGGGTACAGCTACGTGATTAAGGCCAGCTTCCAGTTTATCATCATCTAGTACTTCTTAGTGGGCCTTGGAGCCCTTCAAAAGCAACTTTTCATCAGCTTCTCTTGATCTTACCACCTCAAGCACTTCATCTTGCTGAGGCTTAGTTTAAAACTAGGGCTGGGAGAGGGAGAAGACCTTTTTGGACTTGTATGTAGACATGTTTCGTGGAGAAAAACCGAATGAGCCGAGTGCAGATTTAAATAACTAAAAGATAAGCCTGACCGTGTCATTAGCATTACCTGTCCACCACAGTCTTGTGCTCTGTGGTGCAAATACTCACATTGTATGGGTTGTCTGGGTTAAGTGTTTGGTCGCTTTCTTGCTGCATTGGCCTGGTTTCATTAGGCTGGGGGCCAAGCTCTTGGATCAGCTGGGTGGGGGTGGACCTGGTGTTCACTTCTTTAACAGCAGCTGCTGTGTCTTCTGCGTCGAAGTTTGACTCGGACTGGCGTTTATTTCTCTTCATTTCTCTCCTTTCTCTTTGTTTATCTGAAGAAGTAGTCATATTTTGAATATATCTTTGTATTTATCCACTGATCCAGACTGCAATGGTGTGTTTAATAAAAGCTAGGAGAACCAAGGGAGGGAAGAGCAAACAGCAAAATGGAAAACTTGATAAGCACCCCAGTGGGAACTCCTTGCTTTCCTGTGCATTATAAGGAACTGATATCATTCCAAAGTGGAGGTGAAGCTTTTTCTCCCTCTTTCTTCCCTTGAAGCTAAGCAGGTGTAAGAAGATGCTTTTGGCTTCCAGCGTAGTCACTGATGTTACCTCAGCAGCAGCTGCCAGCACTCACAAGGGCCATTGTATGTGCTGTTGTGGCAGGCTGATGCCCTCTTCCCAAGTCCAGGTGGTGAACCTGGTGGGAGCTGCTTTGATGCTGCTCTTTTGTTACCCAGTAGGAAGTGCAAGATCATAAGAAAAATGGAAGATAATGGCAGCTTGCTTGGATCCCCAGGTGCTCTCATGGTATTTTTTTCTTTCCCCCCCCCCCCCAGTGTTTTAAAACTAGATGGTGCAAGGAGGAATAAATCTTTTCAAGCCCTCTCTTCTCCTTCCAGGCCTGGGATGTACCTGGAGAAGTTACTGTCAGCCTGGTTACTCCTGAACACCTTTGCTAGGAGTGGCTGTGTTTGATGACCACACTTCCACCCAGGGTTGGCCTCCAGGGCCTCACAAACTCCATCTATCAAGTTGCCCATCTGATCCCTCCACTGAAATCTACTGGAGAAGCATTGGGAAACATGGCAGGGCATGATCTCGGACCAGTAGTTTGCTGGTTCCCAGCCCTTGGCCAGTTATGGCATTCCAGCTGCCTGAGCAGTTTGGTTCTAACGCTTTTGAAATACAAGAAATGTTACCTTTGGGATATGTAGGTCGAAGCCAGAAAATCGGAAGATCCCCACAAAGCTCTAAAATTTTGGGGCTTAGGAAACCGTTGTGCTTGATGGGCTCATCTGCAGCCACCCAGATAAGAGAGTTTTCATCAAATCTAACAGGCATGATTTCATCTTCCTGCAAACAGAAGAGCACAAATCCTTTGCTAGTTCAGTGAGTAGCCTTCTGCCTGCCTGCTGCTAACTCTTGGGCATCAAACTGTGTAATCATCAGCTGCAACTAACGCTGCGCATCCTTTATTTCATGAACGCCAGCTGATTGTAGTGAGCCAACCTGCTGTCAGGTTTTGCTGGGGTTGTGGTTTCACCCTTTTCTCTTTAGAATACTTTTGCCCTATGTATGAGAGATCTTCCAGGCCCAAGTGCCAGGATTTCAGAAGTAAAACCTGTGAACGTCCACCAGCTTCAAGAGATGAGCAGTGAATTAGGCCAGCCAAAAATGAGACCCCATTCCTCTGTTATGCCTGCTCTCATCTCATGTTCTCTTATGCTCTACAGCTCTGCTTACAATAGATGTTTAAAAAAAAAAAGAAGTCTTGCTTGCAAATTTTGCAGAGGATTACGGTACGAGAACTGGTGCAGCTTCCAGTTTCAAGTCAACGTGATGGCTCTGATTAAAGGTCTTGTTCAGTAAAAGCAATTCAATTGACCAAAAGCTTGAAGTGCGAGTTAAAGGAGCCTGCCTTTTTGAAGTGTACCCTGCAGGTTTTTGGTTTGTATCTTCAAAGTAACGTAGGCAAATGCCAGTGATTGATTCTTTAAAGTCGTTAGTTCAAAGTATTATTTTACATAAAATGTGTAAGTATTTTATAGCAACAGTGAAATATTAAAAGAAAACCAACTTGTGAATCCTGAAAACCAGTACGATTTCAAAGTTAAAATTCTAAATTGCTTCCATAAAAGTCATCAAAACTCGTTACATAACTGACTAGATCAATTTATTCTGTCAAGTTGTTGTTCCTTTAATGTGTTTATTGATTTCTTTGTAGGTCTCGAGCCATTGAAGTTCACCATCCAATCTGTCTACTGAGAGCTCTTGATTTTTGTTTTTTTTCTCTTCCCCTTAAGTTTCCATCAGCATCAGAAATAAGAGAATCCACTTTTCCCATATAAAAAATATCCTTTGTTTCTGCTTTGAAATTACCATGGCTTATGAGCAGGCAGATATTTGGGGGTCTACGCAAGCTTATTTCCATCAGCCATTTTTATGGGCAACGTTGGCTATATGTGCTGTAAGGATGCACTGTCAGTACTCAGATGTACGTGCTTATCAGAGGGAGAATTCCTGTAAGTAGGAAAATAAATACTGCTTTGCCACACCGGTCATTCATCTAACTGCAAAAGTCAAGCAATGGGGGAGGGCCTGAAACAATTTATATGAATGGGATGGGAGTGGTTTTCATGGTAGCTGTGTGAGTATTACAGTGTGATGCGGGATCTGTGAAATTTAGTCAACACAGTGTTTTAAAATGAAGACCGATGCGGGCTAATTAGGTAAATTCTTAATGTTTACTGTTATTTCTTCTGAGTTAGCTGAAATTTTGCAGTAACATTCAGTATTTCCCAAGCCTTGATAAGTGGAGTTGCTCTAGTTTGGTAAGCATTCCCTTGGGTTCTATCCCTGTAGCTGTTTGCATTGCTTCCTCCATGCTTCCCCAGCACAGCCTCCTGCCCAGCCTTTTCTCATGCCACCAATGCCCCCTGCTCATCCCCCCCTCATACCAGTAGCCCTTACCAGGTCAGAGGACAGGCTGGCCTTGGTCATGGCATCCACCTCAGGCACACGAGCTTTGGGCTGGGCCTTGATGTAACACTTCTCTCCTCCAGCAAATCGGATGCCGGTGATGCCCTAAGGAATAGGACACACATTTGGGTGCAGCCCTCTGTGTCCCCCTGCCCCATAGACCCCTCCTGCTACCCCAGCCAACATTGTCTCTGAGCTTCTAGTCTGAACACTGAGTCTTATTTAAAAACAGACACACCAGCACACTCTGGGACTTGTTCTAGAGCATGGTAGGAGCAGCTCAGCCTTGCATAACCACAGGATCATGAAGGTTGGAGAAGACCACTAAGATCACCTGGTCCAACCGTCGGCGCATCACCATCATGCCCACTGAACCATGTCCCTCTGCACCACGTCTACCCTTACATCCAAGTCTTTGCTGGGCACGCAGTCATCCGAGCTGTGCCAATCAATCCAAGGATGCTAATGTAAACGGTTGGCCTTTGGAAGTGCCTTTCTTTCTCCCTTATGTCCATTCTCAGCTCAAAACCTGACTGGCAGTGTCTCTTTGCTCTTGCTGAGCCTTGGGACTGTGATCAGGCACAGCCCTGATAGGTAGCAGCCACACTTGGGTAGTTGATCTGACCTGGCTCTTAGGTCAGCCAGCAGCATGCCTGGCAGTGCTGTGACTTCAGCATCTTTCTGTTGAGCTGGAGCCTTTGTGCAGATGTGAAATAATGAAGAGGAACAATGAGAGCTTGCTGCAGATGCCCTTATTCAGCTGCTATTAATGTTGCTATGGTGATGTTTGCTAGAGATTGGTAAAAGCTGAACTCCAGCTGTTGGGCAAGCTGGGTTCCCAGTCTCCTGGCTTGGATTTGCTTGTATTTGTGGAGAAGTCAAGGCGCTGGATTTCCTCTGCTTTCTAGAATAGGAGGCAGTCCTCCTGACACCTGCTGCTGTCCTTGGCTTTAGATGCTGCTTTGACTTAGGGAGGACTTTGAAGTTAAGTGTTTTGCACCTGAGAACATGAACTACAGCATCTTGGTCCTGTAAAAAGTTTTTGCACAGGACAGGTGTTGCACAGACAGACCTTTCATAGAATCACAGGGTGGCTTGGGTTGGAAGGGATCTTAAAGCCCATTCAGTTTCAACCCCTTGCTGTAAGTAGGTAGGGGTGTCACTCATTAAAACAGGCTGCCTGGGGTCCCGCACATCCTGACCTTTATTAGCTTGGGTATGGTGCAGCTCTGTGAGCAGCTCACCTGGTTGTTATGCTGAGATTTGGCACCCATGAGCCCAGGCTGAGCCACCATTCTCAAGAACTTGGGTACCCAAATATATTTGCTGCTGGATCGAATCACTAAACAGAGCACATCTGACACAAGGATGCAAAGTTGTGCTGCATTCCTCTGTCCCCTCCCCTAGGCTTGGCCCCAGGCTCCCATCCTTGATCTCAGTGCAGAGAGCGCTATATAAGTTTGTCCCTGGTGTCTGCTTGGCTTAAGGTGTTGATCTTGTGTTCCTCAAATGCTGACGTTTTGGATACGAAGGTGTGTTTCTCCAGTTCAAATCCTACAAAATCACACAAGGGCTGTGGCACAGCCTGCCAGAGAGTTTTCCTAGCATGGTCCTGAGGGCACGCGTTGCAGCTCTATTTTAATGATTTGAAAGCGTGCGTGGAGCCAAATCTGATGCAGCCTAATCCATGTTGGAGAGGACCTATCCCTAAAGGATATGTGGACTCCATTTTGGAGGAAACTGCTGGCCTTGCTGTGAGAGCAAGCCAGGGGAGCGTGGATGTCTGTGTGGGCAACGAGGGCACAGAAACCTCCCACAAGCCGAGCTGAGGAGCTGAGAGCTGGGCCAGTGGGGTGTAGGCATTGGAGAGAAGGGTGTGAGGGACCCAGTGGCAGCACTTACAATCTGGAAATCATGAACTTCGACAGCCTCTTCACTCCCGCTTCCTGTTTTGAATGTCTCTAAGTTGTTCCCGGCATCTATTTCCATCGATCCGTCCTGCACTTTTCCATTAATGCTCATGGTATAGTGAACGTTGTACACCTGCAATAAATAACGGAGCAGTAATGCACTAACGCTGTGCGTTGTCTTCTTCCTGAACCAGGTGATGGGTCAACCTGGTGGTCATGACCCTACTCACAGAACCACAGCACAGCTGAGGCTGGCAGGGCCCTCTGGGTCCCTCTCCTCCATCCCCTGTCCCAGCAGGGACACCCAGAGCAGGGTGCCCAGGGCCACGTCCAGGTGGCTCTGGGAGATCCCCAAGGAGGAGACCCCACAGCCTCTGTGCAGCAGAGGGTTTATTTGATTCTCTTGTGCAGTCCAGATAAAAGTGCTGCATGAGCAGCTTACTTTCAGTCTCAAAACAAAACAAAACAAAATAATGCCTTGCAGCAGCACTGTAACAAAAAATTCACACTGACAGCTAGAGACAAATTTCTTCTTCCCTCACCCTCACTCAGGGAAGTGGAGGGTGCTAAAGATTTATGGTTCCCCAATTACACACATGCAGGCCCACGTTCTCTACTATCTCAGGCTCCAATTGAACGCCGTGCACAGACCCAGACCTATGCCTGCAGCATTCCCTCCTCGGGGCTGAGCCAGATTTGAAGCCAGATTTGAGACCTTTTATTATTGCTGTCAGTTAAGAGAGAGCTTACAATAAGGATTTACAATAAATAAGTTTACCTTAAGCTATTTTATGAATGTGATTTGTAGAGTTGCTTCCTAAGCACTTGCAAGTCCCGAGCTTGGAGGCACCTTGGAAAAATGCCTCCCACTTTTCCCAATCAACCTGGAATTTGACTTTGAATCTTAATGACAGCTCTGGATAGGACAGGAGTTGAACTCAATGATCATAATGGATTCTTTCCAACTTGGGGTGTTCTACGGTTCTATGTTTTGCAAACCAGGATTCAGATGGATGGAGGAATACATAGGGGGAAATTTTCCTGCTGATTCACTGTGTCCCTGCCAGCCTGTGTGCCCATGGATGTCATAGAATAGCCTGGGTTGAAAAGGACCACAATGATCATTTAGTTTCAACCCCCTGCTATATGCAGGGTCGCCAACCAGCAGACCAGGCTGCCCAGAGCCACATCCAGCCTGGCCTTGAATGCCTCCAGGGATGGGGCATCCACAGCCTCCTTTATCCTTTCAAGAGCCTAGAGGATGGCATTTGCAGCCTGGCTCAGATGTCAGCAATGTGTCTTGTCTCTTTGTTTGGCGTTTAACCTTGTACTTTCTCTGACTATCTACATTATTGCTACGTACATCCATGTATCTCCCAGGGAGCTCTGCTCTGCTGCTGGGACTTGCACAAGGACCTCCTTGATGGGACTGCAGCATGGCTGGAAGTTGTGCAAATCCTTTTCCAAAGTAAACCCAAAGATCCGAACTGTGCTAACAGAGCAACCTAAATTCAGGTGGGCACCGTCATGCTTAACATATGTTTTAAACCAAAACTTAGCTGAGTAGAAAGTGAAATTTATATATTAACACAGCATAACGCTCATGATGCTTCTGAAAGTAGATTCTTAAAGTGGTCAGCAACTTCTTAGTTGTGTTCTTTGCGTGCAGTGTCTTTTATCTACCCCAGAAAATGTAAATAAGAAAACGTACCGAGGCTTGAAAAGTTGTTCCACAGCTGTTAACCATAAATGCCTCCATGCATGCACAGCCCACCAATGGGCCAGCTGTTCATGAGTTAAATATAGCACTGCACACATCGGGGTCCAGGTGGGACTTGGTCTGAGCATGCTGTGGTGTGGGGAAGGAATGTATGCGTTTCAATGCTGGTTTTGTCCTGAGGGCTGGAGTTTGCCCAGGATGTGAATCCCTGGGGAGGGACCGTGCTTGGAGTTTGCTAAGAACGTGTGAGCAGAAATCAATGTAGTGTCTGTGCTCCTGCAGATACGTTGCACAGTCAGTGAGAAATGTACTTCCAGGAGTCTCCATTCCCACAACTAATAAAGATAATTATTATATTTTTGGTGTTTTTTTGTTTTTTTTTTGGATTATGAGAAAAAAAAAAAGACCTGCTTAAAGACCTCTTTATCGACCCTGTAATGCAAGTTTCCAGCCTGTGCCCTGTGTTACTTGCAGCCTGTACCAGGCTGGCCGTGCTCACCTGCCTCTCGGTGGCTTTCCAGAAGTAGAAGGCGCCGATGGCCCCAGCCAGCAGCAGAAGGGCCCCAGCGATGAGCACTGTGGCCCCTGCCTTCAGCAGCCGCCCTGGCCCTGGAGGGGGCACTGCTGCCGTGTACGCCTGCAGGGAGCACAGTGCTGGAATGGGAAGCCTGACCTGGTGGGACCAGTTGAGGTCCCTGTCCTGAGCCAGCTGTGATGGCTGTCATGTCCCAGCCCAACCCATCCCTTCTCACCCATCCGCCCCTTCCATTTGTGACCAAGCACATCCTGACCTGACCCAATCTGTCTCATCCCATCCTAACCCAGCCGGTCCCATCCCAACTCATCCCATCCCAACCCATCCCACCTTGTCTAAACCCATCAATTCAGCCCTGATCTGGTGAATCCCATGTCATCCTAACCTTCTCTGACCCACTGCATCCTGACTCATTCCAATCTAGCCCATCCCAACCTGACATTTTCTGTTCTATCTTAATCTGTCCAGCTGAACCCACCCCATCCTGTCTCATCTCATTCTGACTCATCTCATTCCAAACAATCCCATCCCAATCTGATCTGACCCATTCCAATCCAATCCATCTTATTCTATCGTGACCATCCCATATTGATCTAGCAGACCCATCCTGACCCATCCCATTTCATACCATCCCAATTCGACACATCTCATCCCAACCCCCCCACCCCATTTCTGGCCCTACCCTTCCCTTCCCTTCCCTTCCCATCGCACCCCGTCCCAGCCCGTCTCATTCAGCCCATCCCAGTGGCACTCACGGGCGGCAGGCCCTGCTCCACGTCTTCGGGCCCCGCTCGGGCGATGGGTACCTTCTCCGAGCCCTCGGCCATGGCTGCGGCAGCGGCTGCCCCAGGCTCCCCGCTCCCCGCCGGGCAGCACCGCCCCTGCCCGGCCTCCGCACCGCCCCTGCCCGGACAGAGAACGCTCCTCTCCCTCCGGGCCGCACCCCCGGGAGGAGGGGAGTGAGGATTTGGGGCCCAGGGGCAGCTTTGGAGAGAGGAGAGGGGGAGTGATGGAGGGGGAATGTCCATGTAGTGAGTACCGCGCTGGGCTGCTGTGGAGAGGTGCCCCTACAGACAGCCGTAGTAAAAAACTGATTTTTATATATATATATATAAATATAATAGCTTTTAAACTACATTAACAAGCTTGCCAAAGAAATCAGCAGAGTGCATTTGGATTGAGGTGTGGCACAGTGCATTTGATGGCTGTCCCACGGAGCACCCCAACGTGGCACGGGCTGAGCTGCCACCAAGGCTCTGGGGACAAGCAGAGAATGGTGGCGGGGGGGGGAAAGTCATCTTTTGGTTTGAAACGGCCACAAGTCCTCATTGCCCCCAGAGGCAGGTCTGACCGCTGGACTGGAAGCCACTGTGAAGCAGCACAGAAGTCAGACGTGGCTCTCACGTGCCAAGCACTTTGCCTTTTCATGGTTGAGGAGCAAATTCCGGGGATACCCACCTGCATTTTCTATCCTTAAGCCCAGCCCCATCTATCCTGTTGATTTCCATCATTAGCCATCAGATCCTGGTCAAAAATGAACGGGCATGATTGCTGCTGAAAATAAACCCAATCCCAGCTCGTTAAATGCGAAGAGAAGCGCTGTGCAACTTGCTAAAGTAGGGCACATTCTAGCCCGCTCCTGAATGACACACTGTTGTAGGTTGGGGCTAATAATAAGATTATGATTCTCTTCATTAGCAAGTATTTTGTTACACCGCAATCTTGTGAATGGATATGTCTATCTTGGCAAAATGTGAGAATCCCAGCCTTTGATCTCAAACCTCCATTTCACGTCTCTGCTTTAGAAAGACAGATTTATTTTAAGGCCCCTGCGCTCATCTCTGGTGCAGGAACGTGCCAGGGACGTTTGCCACGGAGCCCCCCGTTAACCCTTGCTTTCATGCCTTACCCTGTGCGCGTGCACGGAGCTGCTCGTGAGACTGCAGGGGGGCAACCCTTGCCGTTGTGATGGATGGGGTGGCAGTGGGGCAAACGGGGCTGGGGGCAGATGCACACCCGTGCAAACAGACCCACATTGAGTCACCGCAGAGCCGGTGTTTGTAGGGCTGAGGACAAAAACGCAGCTCGCCTTTCACCAGCTGAATTCTTCCTTTGCAATGAAGATAACGCCGATGGTCGCGTCTGAGCGCTGTCTCCTCTCTAAATAACATGTGTGTGCTCAGCTGGATTAAGCCAACTTCTGAGGCTGGAAATCATAATAACAGTCTTTTACAGGACAGCTTTTCTGGTCGTCTGATACCATTATCCTCTGGGCTGAAAAGCATTCCAGAGTACTTGGAGAGCTGCAGTGAATGTGAGGTTGCTTAGCTGATAGCGCGGGCTTGTCTCAAGGAAGCACATTTTCTCATTATTTTCCGCAGCTCTGAAAAAAAGTTAAGAAGGGGAAATGGAAATATTAAAAATGAGAACACTTTGGTCCGGCTGCTCACTGCACCCTGCCTTTTGGTAAGTCTCTTCTGCTTCCTTATATGCTTTTATCTCCTTTTTCTAAGTGTCCCAAAAAGCTTTTTGAACTCTGCCATGGCCTGAGTGGAAATTCATGAGGCTGGGCACTTTCCCATACTTTTTTTTTTACACCAGCACGGCCATAACCTGGTTAGTGACTCGGGTCCCAGCTACTCGATGTCTCTACTTGACCTCTCTTAAGAATAACCAGAATCCTCTGGAGGGAACAAATCCTATAGAGAAGAGAAAGGAGATGTTGCCTTTCATATTTAACCCATCACAACCTGAGGTTTTGGAGAAAGTTTAAGGATTCTTCCCCGCAGTGGGGCCAACAGCTGAACTAACTGGCATGAACATCCTCACCAAGGTCCCTGTGGTAACCCAGGATGTAGCCCCCCCTCGAGGGCTCACTTTTCCTCCTTACCCCCTCACTCCATGCTAGCGTTCTGCTCCTTTCCTTGCCTAGTGTGGCAATGTGAAATGCCAGACACCAAAGCCACTGTTTGTTCTGTGCAGGGCTCTTGGAAAGCTCTCAGAAAACCAAACCAAACCAAGTCTCCTTTGCCATGAGACTCTGGGAGAAGCTGGCATCCCCCATTGCCCTGATTGGGCACGTCTCCAGCAAGACCACAGTGAAGGGATGCACAGAGATGCACTGGGGCGGAACCCTGCTCTCAGCTCACATCTTCCCCATCCATCCCACATATGGCCCATCACGCTTGGTTCCTCCTCACCCCAGGACACAAAAGGCAGATTTGTTTTTCCCCAGGGCCAGATTTCCTCTATCCATATGTCTTCATCATATTCTTCCTAATTTAGCCAGTGGCTGTGCCTTCTGTTTGCCTTGAATCAGAGAAATAAAATAAAAATAACTAGCTTTCATTATGTGCTTTCCTTCCTACCTTTAACAATGTGGTCTCTTTTGTAGCTATCCTCTGTAAATTGCTCGTAGGCTACTTCCTTTCCTAACCTCAAATCAGGGCTTCTGCTTTGGAGGTAGTTATTATCTTAAACAACTTAGTAGTGTCAATCTCCTTTCTTTCTCCCAGAGGCTTCTTTCCACTTTGATGAGAGCTCTGATAATTTTCTTTTTGTTTCGTTGCAAAGGCCAAGCTTTATTTTCTCATCCAAGAGCTCCCACGAATCAATTATATTTCTCTTTTCTGATCTGTGCACCATTCCACTAATAATTCCGTGATCCGACTCAAGCGAATACTTCCAATGAGATAACCTCAGAGTCATCTCCAGGGCCAGAATACTTTCCAGAAATACTGCCTCCTGAAACACGCGTTTTACTCACCCTTCTGAAAACACATGAAGCACCTTTATTATCTTTTTTTTTTTTTTTTTGGCCTTTGTTACCTTTTTGGGATGTTTGTGTGGATTGGTTCCAGAAAATATAATCACCTACTCACCTGTGCTCTGTCCTTTCGTTTAGTTCCTTGCATCAGGCTTTTCTGGTCTGTTCTATAATCATAGAATCATAGAATGACAAAGGTTGGAAAAGATCCTCAAGAGCATCCAGTCCAACCATTTACCTACTGCCAATATTTCCCCACTAAACCATGTCCCTTACTACAACATCTCAATGTTTCTAATACTTCTCCCCCTGCATTTAAATCCTTATAAAGCAACAAAAACAAACAAGCAAAAAACCCCAACTGAATAGGTAATAAAAGAGAATAGTTTCTTACAAAATAAACTCATCAGATTAAAGAAACCAAACCCACGGGTGAAAAAGAACCATTGAAAAGCAGCATCCCTACCCTTGAATTGGCTTCTCCTCAAGAACGTGTATGGAGAGCATGACATATCATCTCACAGAACCACATCATGGCTGAGGCCTCTACGTTTGGTGAATCTGGCCTTCGCCAGCAGCTCTTTGCACATCAGGACATAGCTGTTGCCCCAGTGCTGCTTGGGAAGACACTACCTGTGCTCCCTGCTCCAGTAGCCCTGAGCCCAGGTCTGCCCTGAATTCATAGAATCATAGCATCATAGAACGGCTTGGGTTGGAAGGGACCTCAAGGATCACCAAGCTCATGGATCACAAGCAGGGCTGCCAACCTTTTTATCTAATCCTAGACCAGGCTGCCCAGGGCCCCATCCAACCTGGCCTTGAACACATCCAAGAAAGAGGCATCCACAACCTCTCTGGGCAGCCTGGTCCAGCACCTCCCCACTCTCACAGTAAAGAACTTCCCCCTGACATCCAACCTAAATCTTCCCTCCCTCAACTTAAAACCATTTCCCCTTGTCCTGCCATTATCTACCCTTGTAAAGAGTTGATTCCCCTCCTGTTTGTGGGCTCCCTTTAGGTACTGGAGGTCTCCCCACAGCCTTCCCTTCTCCAGGCCTTGTTTTCAAAAACCCACAGATGGTTCCTCTTTTCCTCATTGTCAGAAGCTGAGCAGGGAGCAATAAGGAAGAACAATATAATTTCTGCCGGTAGACCCTCTTTAATTGGGAAAATGCATCTGTTATCCATGTATTAGCATGGAACAGCATGGAACCGCTGTTGTCATACCACTACAGACAGCAAATAGCAGCAGCAATAATAATAAATTTGGCCCAGTTAGGATCCTCGTGCTTGTCCAGTGTGGAGAGCTGAAGGGTGAAAATGCTTGAAGAACAGCATGACAAAAGCCGGGGACCTCATTCCCTGCACAGCCCTATTTCCAAGGGCTTTTTCCATGACTCCATGGTCAGTGATTTCCATGACATTCCCTAATTGTTAAAGGGCAAACTGTCAAATACTTTAAGCTCCACACTTTATGGCCTGTCTATATGGGGCCGCAGCACTGCATGGGGCAGAGCTGAGGAGCGTGAAACCAGACTAGCTGGAGGGGGGCAGAGGTGGCCTCCATGGCCTCGCCAGCAAGATATTTTCCTCTTGCTGACAATGTTGTGTTGCTGCCTTGAGGAGCTCACCTGCCCTTGCACAGGCTGAAAGAGGCAGCAATCACATCTCTAAAGAAATGTTGGGGTTGTTTGGGAGAAAAAAAAAAAGAATTTGCAGAGAGGTCTCACTTAGGTAAATCATCCACAGTATTACGCTACCTGAGGTGAACAGGACCACCTCTATCTTCCTCCCCTTGAGGTGCAAATGGTCTTGGTGTCCAAGAGAAGATGCTTAAATTGCTTTCCTTGTCTCTGCCCGTGGAAAGCAGCCCCAGAGCTACATCGCCCACAGCAAAATCCGTTCTTCATGGCTGGAAGCTGTTCTGTGGGGATGCTGGGCATCTGGCAAGGTTGGCCTGATGAAAGGAGCTTTGTTCCCTGATGCATGTGCTTGTTTGCTCTGAAGGAACGTGGCTTCCAGCTGCAGTAATGCTCGTTTTAGGGACAGAGGAGACTGATG